TTCTAATCAGTATGCAAAATTTGATGGTAAACGTCAATAAATGGGTTATTGATCCACTTTTCTTCCCCTAGGATAATGTGTCGGATTTTATCAGGGTGGGAGGTATCCAAAAGCTACAAGATGGAGAGTTTATTGTTCAAGTATGTATGGCGTTGTTACCCTCCCTCTACTTTGCAGAACCACATTGCCATGCTTCTTTATTGTCTAGATACTGAAAATTCTTAGCAGGTTTCATTGTATTGTTTTACTCTTCCCCTTAAGGTGTTTATAATATACCATGATTTTTTAGGCAACTAAAGATTGTGTCTCCAAAACACTGAAGAGATTGGAGGAGAAGATTCATGGAAGAGTAAGTGAAACGATACTTGTCTTTAAATTTGTTTTTTTCCATCTTTGATGACTAAAAAAAATACACAATTGACGATTTGTAGTTCTTTATCTTAGTCGAGTTTCTGAAGCTCTGTTGAAGTTTAGCATTTCTCTATTCAACCTTTGAGATTTCTGTGCTTTGATTTTCCTTTGTAGGTTCTGAGACATCTGTTGTACCTAATGCGCATTTCAGAGAAGTCTATCCAAAGACGAGTTGCTCTTGCTCTTGCTCATCTCTGTTCACCCGAGGATCAGAGAACCATATTCATAGATGACAATGGCACGTGACAGTTTTTATTTTATTTATACGAGCTAGTGAGATGCATGCTTTCTGTTTTTAGTCTTCTATAATGTTAAAACTTTTAATGCGTTAACCGTCCAGTTTAGATGTTCTTTGTCCGAAAAGTTTTATATTGAGTTGTCTTTTGACAGGGTTGGAGTTGCTACTCGGTCTTCTTGGTTCTTTAAACACTAAGCAGCAACTTGATGGTGCGGCAGCGTTGTACAAATTAGCAAATAAATCTATGGCACTTTCTCCAGTTGATTCTGCTCCTCCTTCCCCAACACAAAGGGTGAGTTTCCTTTTTGCTTCAGTTCTCCAATACGTAAGGGGTGGAAGTCTCAATGCAGTATTCTGTATGTCTTTTTGTGACAGGTTTATCTCGGAGAGCAATATGTAAATAATGCTACGCTGTCTGATGTAACCTTTCTAGTCGAAGGTAATCACATATTAATCCAGAAGTTTAGGAAGTCTAGTTAGCTCCTAAGTCCATATGTAAAACAGAAAAATCATCCTGCAGGAAGGACATTCTATGCACACAGAATTTGTCTGCTGGCATCCTCAGATGCATTTCGTGCAATGTTTGATGGTGGTTACAGAGTAAGTGAACTAAATATTTTGGCTTTTCGATAATGTTCTTGTGGAGTAAATGGTATTATGATGACAATGACCTATGGGTGTATGCTGTGCTGCTCTGTATTGAAAGAATACATTTATCTTGTGGGGAAATTAGAGCTGAAATGTGTCACGGTTTGTGTTTCTTTAACACCACAGGAAAAAGACGCTAGAGATATTGAGATTCCGAATATCAAATGGGAGGTGTTTGAGTTAATGATGAGGTATGATGAACCTCTACAGGCTTTTAATTGACTCACTCGAGATATTGAGATTTCGAAAAGTCTGTGAGAACTTTTCATAAACACGTAATTATCTCACTTGGATTATGATTTTAAGGTTTATATACACTGGATCTGTCGACATAACAAATGAGATATCAAAAGATCTTCTAAGAGCAGCGGATCAGTATCTCTTGGAGGGCCTGAAACGACTCTGTGAATACACAATTGCTCAGGTGAGCCAAAATTATATTGCAATGCAATGTGATGTGGTTTGCATGACACTTATCGAAAAATTCTGACACGGTAACTTTGCGTATGTATGAAAGGATATAACATTGGAAAGCATAGGAGACATGTACGAGCTCTCAGAAGCATTCCATGCAATGTCGCTGAGGCAAGCTTGTATCTTGTTCATCCTGGAGCATTTCGATAAACTGAGTTCAATGCCTTGGTAATATAAACAAGTTGGCATTCTCTCTTATCCCCTAAGATTTGTGTATGGCCAAATTAGTCTGAAACATAGTGAATGGAAAATGCAGGCAGAACGAGCTGGTGCAGAGAACAATACCAGAGATAAGAGAGTACTTTTGTAGAGCTCTAACAAAGTCTACTACAAACCTGCAAAGCTTGAGGCTGTAGAATGTGGAAGAAGAAGAAGAAGAAGAAGACTGCACTTAACTAGAGGTAAGTAGACAAGGAAAATATAGAGAAAAAGAGAGATCAAGAGCCGCCATTAGAGGTCTTTATGGTCATGTCTTGAGTTGTTATAGTTATTTGCTGTGCTTTTGGTTCGTTTTGGTCATTTGTATTGTATTAATCTCTTCTGATCACGATCGGTCTTGAAAGAAATCGCCACCTTTGTATCCAAAAGATACCGTTGTGGTAAACTTGCGATTATTCAATTCAAAATCCAATCTCCAACTATCCTCTCTTTGTTGAAGGAAAAAGATACTTTGGGTAGGATTTTGACTAACCTGGTTGTGACTTGTGATGATTTGACTGATTGGATGATATTGGTAGTGGTGACTGAATGATTTAAGAGATCATTCAACATTGTATTGTTTTAGACAAAAAAAAAATAAAAAAAATAAAAAAATTCAACATTGTATTGTTGAGAGTCGAATCTTCAAAACATATGAAGATGATGATATACATTATACAGTTTTTTTTTTTTTTTTCTCTCAAGTGTTTCGCTTTTATATATGCCACAGAAGTTGGATTATCCAAAGAAGATTTACGTTTTCTTCCAAAGTCACGATGAAATATTAAACTTTTTGTTTTTTTTTTTTTTGCCCTGAATAACTTAATGGTGTGAAGTCTATAGACTTAGGAGGGAGATTTAAAGAGCTCCGGCGGTGAACTTTTTTTTTTTATTTATAAATCTCGATTTCGAGAAACCCTAAAACACACATTGATTTCGCAGCCAGAGACTCTAGAGCTCCTCATCGGTTTCGGTACGCTTTTCTTTCCCTTGTATTCTCATCGGCAAACGGAGAAATTGTGGGATCCGATTATGTAACTCGAATGGAAACTTGTAGGGAATATGCTCTCCGATCTTTACGAGATTACTCTCCTTAATCTCTGTTATAGATTCTTATGCAAAGTATTTTGTGATTCAATCTGATGATTTTTCTTTTCCAATTCATGAATCCGTCGAAAGTGTGTTAGGATGCGAATAGTTTTTATTCCTTTAGGCTCGATCTTTGATTACAAAACCATAAAGAGCCTCCTCTGATTATTTCTAGCTTTTTGTGTGTTTTGCAGTTCTATACACTTCTGGATTTGTGATTATGGCTGATACGCTTGATTCCCGACCTCATGCATTTTCGATTAAACTCTGGCCACCGAGTTTACCTACAAGAAAAGCTCTCATTGAGCGCATTACCAACAATCTCTCCTTAAAGACCATTTTTACTGAAAAGTACGGTAGCTTAACCAAAGACCAGGCTATGGAGGATGCTAAGAGGATCGAGGACTTTGCTTTTTCCACTGCTAACCAACAGTTTGAGAGGGAACCTGATGGTGATGGCGGTTCTGCTGTACAGCTTTATGCTAAAGAATGCAGTAAGCTTATCTTGGAAGTTCTCAAGAAAGGCCCTGTTGCCACTAGAGATTTGATTTCTGAGGATTCTTCTGCGTCTCCCCGTGAAACTTTTTTCGATATTTCTAAAGGCCAACGGGCTTTCATTGAGGCTGACGAGGCTGACGAGCTTCTCAAACCTTTGAAGGAACCTGGCAACGCTTACACTAAGATATGCTTTAGCAATAGGAGTTTCGGCTTAGGAGCTGCTCGTGTCGCTGAACCTATCTTGGCGTCTCTGAAAGATCAGCTTAAGGAAGTTGACTTGTCAGACTTTGTTGCTGGACGACCCGAGGTTGAAGCTCTTGAGGTTATGAATATATTTTCTGACGCACTTCAAGGTAGTATTCTCTCATCTCTCAACTTATCAGAGAATGCATTGGGTGAGAAGGGTGTTAGAGCATTTGGGGCACTCTTAAAATCTCTGAGCTCTTTGGAAGAGCTGTATTTGATGAACGATGGTATCTCTAAGGAAGCTGCACAAGCGGTCTCCGAGTTGATTCCTTCAACAGAGAATTTGAGGGTCCTTCATTTTCATAATAACATGTCGGGAGATGAAGGAGCACTCGCAATTGCAGAGGTTGTCAAGCGTTCGCCACTGCTGGAGAATTTCCGGTGTTCTTCCACAAGAGTCGGATCAGAAGGGGGAATCGCCTTGTCAGAAGCACTTGAGCATTGTACTCATATGGAGAAACTTGATCTGCGAGATAATATGTTTGGCACAGAAGCCGGAGTTTCTCTGAGCAAAACTCTTTCAAGCTTCAAACACTTGACTGAGCTTTACTTGAGTTATCTTAATCTAGAGGATGAAGGTGCCATAGCCATAGTAAACGCTCTAAAGGAGTCTGCTTCGCCCATTGAAGTTTTAGAGATGGCAGGAAATGACATAACAGTTGAAGCTGCTTCAGCTATCGCAGCCTGTGTAGCAGCAAAACAAGATCTGAAAAAGTTGAATTTGTCTGAGAATGAGCTGAAAGATGAGGGATGTGTCCAGATTGCAAAGAGTATGGAAGAGGATCATTCGAAATTGCAATACATCGATATGAGCACGAATTTCATAAGAAGAGCCGGAGCACGAGCCTTGGCTCATGTTGTTGTAAAGAAGGAAGCTTTCAAGCTGTTGAACATCGACGGGAACATCATATCAGAAGAAGGCATTGAAGAATTGAAAGAGATATTCAAGAAATCTCCAGAGTTACTTGGAGCTTTGGACGAGAATGATCCTGATGGAGAAGAAGAAGATGATGATGAGGAAGACGAAGAAGATGAAGAGAACGAAGGTAACGGGAATGGTGAGCTGGAATCGAAGCTGAAGAACCTTGAAGTTAAGCAGGAAGATTAAGTCTTTGATGTTGGTACTTTTCAATGTTTTTGTTTGTTTTGTACCAGTATTACTTAAGCTGCTGCTACAAAGACCAAAACATATTGAGACTTTGGTAATTTTTTGCCGATTGCTTCTATTAGTCTTTTTGTTAAATTCGATTTGCTTTGGTACCGTTTTGGTTTAGATACAATTTTTAAAACAATTTTTGTTAACTTGAAAAGTTAAAACAAACGTGAAGAAAGTTTCAGGGAAGACACAATCAAGACAAGATTTTGAGTCTAATTAAATAGTTAGAATAAGTAATTGATGATTGCAAACGCAAGCATAAACATATTTTTTCAACAGTAACAATGGCATTTTGCTCCACCAGCAACACGTTTGCAAAACCCGCCTTTCTTATTATCACATCCATCACGACACCATTTGTTGCATCTCTTTCTGTCTTGGTACGTTTTGCAAGCTCCAAATTTCGCATGTGTGTTACAGCACAACGAATTTCCGGATCCTTCAACGACATCTATAACATGCAAACAAAGATTTTCACCTTTATGATTCACGTAAAGATCAAACAAAAAGATTTAGGTATAATACAAGATTTATGGTGAGTGACTAACCAATAGAGAACAGAAGAACAATTAGCATAGCAAAAAACATGATTTTCACGGTGGTGGTCATCTTCTTGATCTTTTTATCCTCTCTATGAGCTTAAGGAATTACTGTAGGTGTTCCTTCCATCTATTTATACTAATTTGCCAACCTTTTATAAATTTAGATTTGGAAAAATACCTAATGCCATATCCTAATTTAATGGATCAAATTTCCTTGTCTTTTTTCACCGCTAATTATAGATTTTAGTTATCGTTTTCCAGTTTCATGTTCATGTTCTTTGTTTACGGCAATCTAAAACACTAATTAGATTTGCAAAACACAAATAAAAGTATATTAGTTTTTGATCCAAGTGCTGTATAATCTAAACTTGGGAAGGTTCATGTGACGAGTGACGACTATAGAAAAGAAATGATGTCCATTTGTAACTTAAAAGAAATAGAAATGAATAGATTCTTGAGAAATCAGGCCAAATGACCAAAAACAAAACTTAAATCAAATGTGTGAGCATATATATAGTCAATATCTATATTTTTACCATTTGCCCCCTCTCATCTTTTTAAGCTCTGAATATTTTGGGAAGGTTTGAATTAAAAAAAAAAAACAGACACTAATTTATGAGAAAATGGCTTAATGATTAACACTTGTAGACAAACACAAATGCCTAATACTTGTAGAGAAACCTTATTCTCAGTTTCGTTTGCTTCCGTTCGAGCTACTCTTACCTCTAGAGTTAGGTGATGAAGTCATAAGAGAGTATCTTGACCGTTTCTTCTTATGAGTTTTCCAACTATTTAATGGCTTCTTCTCGTTTTCTTCTTCACTCTCTTTCCCACTCTCCTCCTTTCTTTCCTCTTCGCTTCCACTCGACTCTGCCTCTGCCTCTGCCTCTGCCTTTGACCCATTACTCATTGGTGTCTTTGTGTCCCTTCTCTTTCGTTTCTTAGAGACTTTGGAAGCATCTTCGTCTTCACTCTCCATCGCTTTCATCCACTGCAAATCGCTTAAAGAGTTGCTGTACACTGCTTCTTTTCGTTTCCGTTTACCAGTGAGGCTACCAAAATGGTTTTTTGAATCGTTCTTGTCTTCTTGAGTCTCTGAAGTGTAAGCCCACTCAGGCACTTCCTTCTCTTCCATGAGACGTGTCTTGTAGTTCTCCTTTTTCCGTCTTTCCTCGTCCATTTGTTCAAACATCCAAAACTCATCCTCCGTTCGAGCTGCGAGCCGGTTAATCTCTCTCTCACTTGGCACATCTTCCCCCAGTGAGCTTGTTCCTTTGCTCATGATCTCTTCCAGCATCTCTCTCCTGTCTTGAGCTGTTGATGATTCAAAAAGATTAGCATTTAGTCTCCAAATCATGTTTTAGTAGATAAGAATATATATATATATATGTGAGGACTTTTTACCAGTAGAAGTTGTGTTGAAGAGTCCTGCTTGTATGACTTTGGCATCAATGCCCATCTTTTGCTTTGCACGCTCCAATATTACCTCTTCAATAGAGCCAATGCTAACCAAAACAAACACTCTCACTTCCTTTTTCTGTCCTATACGGTGGGCACGATCCTCCGCCTGCTGGTCCATTTGTGGATTCCAATCACTGTCAAATATAATAATAGTGTCTGCTGTTTGTAAGTTCAAACCAAGACCACCGGCACGTGTGCTCAAAAGAAACATGAAGTAGGGAGACTCCGGTTCATTGAACTGCTTCAGTAAAACCCCTCTTTGGTCTGTCTTTGTGGTACCGTCGAGTCTGAGGTACATGTAGTCATTGAGTGTCAAGTAAATTTCGAGAAGGTCGATGAGACGAGTCATTTGAGAGAAGAGAAGAATTCTATGTCCAGCTTTCTTCAGTTTTGGAAGGAGGCGATCAAGTAGCTCGAATTTTCCTGAAGCTCTCACAATCTCAGGCTTCTTCCACATGTTATAATCTCCTCCAACAAATAGGTACGGATGGTTACAACACTTTCTTAATTGCATTGTCAGATTCTGCAGACTCTTTGATTTCCCATTGCCTGTATCCATTAGCAAATTAACTTCCTGATTTATGTTCTTTACCAAAAGATAAAAACGTTTTGGAGAGAGTAGAAGTTAAAAGTTTAGATACAAACCAGAATGAAGACCAACCCTGCCTACATCTGTAACTTGTTTGTAATACAATTTTTGCCAAGCCGACATATCACACTTCAGTATGACTTGTGTCTTTCCAGGAAGGAATTTCTCAACTTCACTTTTTTTCCTTCTCAGTAGAAACGGCCTGATGACCTGCAAGTGACATTAACATTTAGTATTTTGCATAGCTAGCGAATTTGATATAATAAAAAATAAGCAAAGAAGGTGCATAAAAACCCACATGATGCAGACGATTAATAATCAACAGCTCCTCTTCATCTGTAAGACTGGCACTGCCACGTTCTGCGAAAGGAGTATTAAACCATTCTTCGAAATTCTGAATCGAGTTAAAGATGTGAGGAAGGAGAAAATTAAGCAGCGACCATAGTTCTTGCAGACTGTTCTGTATGGGAGTCCCAGTTAATAGAAGTCTGCGCTTAATACGGTAGCTGCATCCAGGACAAATTAGTGTAACAACTAATTAACTCCATTCACTTCAAACTTCATCAAGCTAATGCGTAAAAAGGCATGTCTAAAAATTTACTTTAAGAAACTAGGTAGTCTAATCAAAGACCAGAGATTCATACCCAGTTCCTAGAGTTTTTGCAAGAGCACATTCATGGTTCTTCAGCCGATGTCCTTCATCAACAATCATGTAATTCCAGTCAATTTTCTTCAAAAATGCTTTATCTCTCATGATAAGATCGTAGTGGGTTATCAATACGCTAAATTTTCCTCCTGCTATTCTGGCTCTTATTTCAGTTCTTTTCTCCTTTGATCCATCGTAAAGAAAAGCGGAAATGCTGTAAATATGGACAAAAATGAAGCACCTTACATACACAACATCCATACCAATGCAATTAATGAAGAAAAAAAGGTTGTTTGGAACATACCTGGGTGCCCATGTTGCAAACTCATTTTCCCAATTTGGAAGCACAGCTTTTGGAGCCACTATTAGATGAGGCCCATGCACATTTTTACTTTCAAGAAGATACGCAATCAGTGCAATTGTTTGGATAGTCTTTCCCAAACCCATTTCATCAGCTAAAATGCCATTATAGTCGTTGTTGTATAGAGAGACCATCCATTGAAGCCCTTCTAATTGGTAGGATCTTAGTTCCCCACCTTGTAGAAGGGATGGCTGCTTTGTCACCTGTTAAAATAAAGCATCGATATCTAAGTTAAACACACTTAACCAAACTCCTAAAATTACTAATAAACAATCATAGTTACCTTCTCTTGTATTGAATGAATAGCCAAGTTATACTGCCTCTCGCCTTCTAGTAAGTCATTAGAATCATCATTATTGTCAGAGTCAATGATCTCAATATCTTGGTCAGGAAGCACATCCGTGGGAGCATCAACATCAGATAAGTCAGATTCTGAGCCTTTCAGTAGTTTGATGTTTTCTGAAAGTTTGGCATCTTTCTGACGCTGGACTGCAGCTCCCAAACTAACAAAGATTTTGTTTGTCTCCTCTAGGAAAAGAGTTAGTTTTTCGTTTTTACTCTCCTTTGCTAGTTTCATGTATTCCTCTTGATCATCAGATTTAAGGGCCATGATCCTTAGTTTTTCAGCTCGGGTGGCACGTTGCCTTTGCTTTCCATGCCAGGCCTGTTAGATAGATGGCAAAATTCCTGTTTGTAAAACTTTGTATATTTTTGACATTTAAGGATATATAACTCAATTATATCATGGGTTCAATGGAAAGAAAATAAGCAATAACAAACATAATGCCAGGGATATCATACCTGGACACCATCATTTCTTTGCTTACACCGTCTATGAGTCGCCTGAATTTGTAACTGGAATTCACGAACAGCATTGAGTATTTCTGCAAAGAATTTCCTCTGTGTCGTTTCAATGAGATTCTTCTCCTCCTCTTCTAACCGTAATAACCTCTGAACAAAGAGTATGAAAGCATCAGCAAGGAGTTTAAAAAATCATAAAATAGAACCTAGATAACAACTCTTAGTCTAGTAGTTCTTCTAAAAGGGACTTGTTCCTATCATCTCAAAACGTCATCAGCTTCCATTCGAAGAAAGACTTGATCATTATAGGTAAAAATATAAAATCTGGGAGCAAACAATTTTGCTTTGGATTAGAAACCAAATGACCTCGGCATCACGCTTGTTTCTGAACTGATCATCAGCTTCCATATGAAAAGGATCTCCAACCCCATACATTCGGCGAGGCAACCGCATCATGCCCCAGTCATATAGTTGGCTTTCAGGATGTGCACAATTCAAACGCAGCCAGTATTCCGCGCTCACCTCAGCCCGAACCTTGCATTGTAGTTCTTTTAGCTGCCATAAGCAAACGAGACACAGTGTCAGTGTCATGGAAATCATATTTTAAACAATGTCACACAATAAAAGAGATCAGACTAGTGTCACACATACCTTAAGCCCATAAAGCTCAAGTAAGCATTTTTCCTGCAAATCTTCACCTCTATTGGAAGGTAATCCTGATTCAAAAAAAAAAACAAACACAAGAGTAAGCATTCCTCTCACAGGATAATTGGTTTCAGAAACCTAATGGACAAAAAAATACAAGCAGGAAAAATGTAGACAATAGTTTGCAACAAACAAATAAGAAACGGTAAAAATCAGCAGCAATCACCTTCAAGTTCAGATAATCGATTCTGGAAACGACTCTTATAGCGAGTTTCCTTAAATTGGGCAAGTCGAGAGCCTGATTGACAGTTTAGTCGCTGCTTCAAAAGTGCATCTTCGAACTCGCTCATCAAATCACCTCTATTGGGAGTAAAACAATTTTCCTGCAAACGCCAATTAGAGGTAAAAACTCTGAACATAGGCCAAAGCACAAACTAGCATAGAACCAGTGAATTCGATTCACAAAAATCAACGAATCCGAACATGAAAGAATACACGAATTCACTCCAAGGAATTGGTTAGAGAAGGAGGCGAAAGAAGCACAGAACCAGAAAATTCGATTCACAACCACAAAAAAATCAACGAATCCGAACATGCAAATCGAAGAAACAGCTTACACGAAGAGGCGGAGGAGGAGAGAGATCGGAGACGGAGCCATGGTAGATGGAAGAAACGGAAGCGTAAAGGTGAGAAGGCAAGAGAAGGTCGCGAGAAACGTAGTTAAGAGCAGAGATCAGAGACTTGGTCTTCTCTATAGGATCGTCCTCTTGCTGTTGTAGCTGCTTCTCCATGGCGGGAACTTTCTGTGTTTCGATTTCAACTGTCAAATTAGATTATTTAATTTTATGTTGCCCGTTCCGTTTTTTTTTTTCTCCAATTTCTCTCTCGATGTGTCTTTGAGAGTTTTAGCCTCAAAAGATAGAACGAGACGGAGAGAAAATTGAAATCTATCACGAACGATACTTAGTCGCTCACGCGCACCGGTCTATTAGGGATAGGGTCTAACCCCCTTTCTTGTCGCTTTTACTATATTACCCTTCTTCGTTTTGGGCCGGCCTTTGATGCTTAATTGCAAATTTGTTGGGCCCACTTCATGCAATTATTTTTAATTTCATAAGTTGGCATTATTACTTAAATTTGTTTTTTCAGTGTAAAGATGACTTCGTGTGCCACTAATGGAGAAATATTGTAAGAACCCAAAATTGGGACAGTGCAAAAATACAAACTTGGTCCAAATTCTAAAACAATTACATTACATCACTTTTTTTCAAATAAAGAAAACCTCAAATCAATGAGAACAATATCAAGCTTAAAGTCTTCTCACTGCCCTGCTGATGGGTTCCTGGAAGTACTGAAGTGATATAAACATCGCTTCCTGCATATTTATCGCACAATATCCTCAGCTCAATCATCCCGAACATAAGAAAAGGAAAAAAACAAAACTCATAGGAAGAATCTGCAAATACCTCTGCTCGAATGGTTCGGCTTCCTTGATGTGGACAAGTATTCAAGTATATATTAAACACATCTCGGACGTTTTTCCCCTGTGAAAATGAAGTCTTTTGTTTAGTGTCCATATCAAACGCATATTACAGACCAAAACAGCTTTAGATCTTTGACAACGTTTTAGTCACTGTGAGAGACAAAGAGTTGAGTATGAGGTCACCTTATACTGGTTATCATCTTCAATACTTTCTTCAAGCCCAGCAAGTCCACCAAATGCAATCAATAGGTGCCTATGATTTCATGCCACAACCATTTGAGTCAGTCTCCCAAATTTAAACTGCTAATAATGTGATAAGACACAGACTTATACCATGTTAGGGGGAAATGATAATCACCTAAATGTTGGTATTTTCAGCTCTGATGAACTGATTACCACGCCGTGCTCCGAGGTACCGATCAAGTAATCGTAACCACCCTGCTTTTGGTATTAGGAAATAAGGTTATGCAGGAAATATACTTTAAATTATAGAAGGATGAGGAGCAGAGTGTCATTATTCTTACCTGGAAAGGACATTCCTTGAATACTGAACTTAATTGTGATGCATATCGTACTTTGTATCCCCAATACATTCCTGCTTCTTCTCGTGGCTTAGAGGGCGGAACAATCTGGCGTACCAAATCTAGATGAACCGAATTCAAAATATATTAGCACAACAAGTAGATATAGGTAGCATTCTTTCTGCGTCTAAATTTCTCTAGGTGACAAAATTTTTTGAGTGCAATGAAGATTTGATTAACAAGGTAAATAAATGATATATATATCGAAATTATAGAAAGAAGACAGATGAATCTGATAACTCGAAAGAAAATAGAGATTATCAGTACCTAAATCGTGGTCAGTTCCCATGGCTACCGTGACTCTAACTCCTGGACTCAGCACTTGATCAACAACAACACTCTGCATCACAAGCAAAAAAATTGTAAAACAAAGGGTTAAAAAGGAGGCCAACTGAGATATTGATATTTGAGAGGAAGTAAGAATACCTTGCTTAAACCCACATCAACCATTGTACCCTCAGAGTTTGGAGCCTTTTCATTCAGCGTGACACCTATAAGGAAATGTAGAAGCTTTATTCATATTTCTCCACACTAGCTTCTTGTAAGATACTATTTGGTATTTCATATGGCATCTCGAAGAATGTAATAAGGAATTTGCTAAGGTCTCATTGGATGCCTATGAACTTTGATATTACCTTCACGATATTGTTCCCACTCGTGCTTACGCAGATGGTGAGGAGCATCAAGAGGTGGCAACATACCCTGATCAGACAAAGCAAACAAAATCTGGTCACAAGAGAGTTTTAAAGAAAGATTGAATACAAAAAGTGAGAAACTTGAAGAGAGAAAGGACTTCAAGTACACACACCACATATCTAAGATCATTTTGCTTGGGGAAGAGAGATTTCCTCAAATATTGTGGTGTCTCTAGATACTTCAAGATACGAACGAGAAAGGAGGCACCACTTTCATTGCTATCCGAAGGATTCATAGCAGCTGATTCGATTTCTGAGCTGCTCTTATTGTCGAACACTACGATCTGATTTAAACCAAAAAAAGCTGTAGAATTTAGCACAAAATTGAGTGGTTTTGACTTTTGATGCAACACCAAGTTTTTTAGAGCTCTGCGGATTGAAAGAAGAGGAATAACATACCTCGTCGATTCGGAAAATTGTAGCTGCACGAGCAATTTGGCCGGCGAGCTGAGAAATGTTAGAAATGGAAGAAGAGGATTTGAAATTCTCTGGGAATGGAAAACCAAAGAAACGAAGGGAGAGATAAAGAGAGAGGGAGAGATTACGCGTGTGGCGAGCTCGAGTGATTGAGTGTTGTGGATGATTGAACCAGCTATGGCTATGCTAACAGTGGCTCTACCGTCTTCCACATTTCGCTTTTCCTCCTCCTCTTGCTTTTTCTTCTTCTTCTTCTTCTTCTTCTTCTTCGTGTCTCCGTCGAGACTCATCTTTTGCTCCGGTTCTATCTTCGTATCTTCACGGCTTCTCTTCTTCTTATTCTTCTTCTTTTTAGAGTCTCCGTCGATTATTTTCGTTAGCTCTGGCTCCAGTTCGAGCTCAGGCTCGTCTTGACTTCTCTTGTTCTTCTTCCCCATTTCTGCCGCCGGCGAGTGCTGCAGCCGCGTGCCAATTTCGCAGGGTTTATGTGGTTTTGGGTTCTTACTGGATTAATGGGCCTCAATCATCTTAAATCGATTGGGCCTATTTTACAGCCTGTTAACTTTAATGCAATTTACGTTTTTTTAACTTAACTGTCTTGAACCATTTTCGTGTGTCATTTGAGCATTTCTTGACGGAAATATATCCGATGGTTGACGATTATTTGAAACTTTTCTGAAATTGGTAGAGAATTTTAACAATTAATTTTCAAATATTTTTTTCAACGATTTTTATATTTCAAATTTATTGATGATACCCAAAGGTATTGGTTTAACTGTAAACCATGTGCTACGAAACAGTAAACCATAAATAGTTGCTTGCCAGATGGCACTGTCCTATTGGACTACAATACAAGGACTCAAAAGGGACTCTAAGCTCCGCCGGCGCGTGCCTTCCTTTCCGCTCGAGTCTTGAGCCAGCTCAGCATGTCACCGTAAACCAGATCGACTTTATCCTCCGATTCCCCAATCATCTGATGCCACAACTCAGGGTAGATCTTGATCGTCTTGTCCTCACTAATCGCTCTCCTATGAAGCTCCTCAACACACGCTACGTCGCAGATAACATCGCCTCCGCCGTGCACAATCAGAAGCGGCACCTCCACTTCCTCAAACCTCTCTTGCAGATCCTTACAAACACGAATCAGCTCATAAGCAGTGGCGGCGCGTGGTCTCGCCACCGTCCTTCTAGGGCTAGCCATCGCAAGCTTCCTCTTCCAAGGCTCCTTGAAAGAAACATCGGGAATAGATCCGCGCGTAGGGATAACGCGCCAGGTAGGGATAAGATTCGCGACGACGAAGAGCAAATGCTCCAACGGCCACGGCGGTTTGAATTTATCGCTGATTCCACACATAGCTCCGTTAAGGATAAGCCCATCCCAAACACCTCTCTGACGGAGCGAGATGTAGAGAGCAATCGCGCCGCCTAGAGATTCAGAGTAAAGAAAACACGGCAGATCTGACGGCGATTGACGGCTACGAAAGTCATCGAAGAAAGAGATACAGTCATCGACGACGGGATTGATGTCAGGGATATGAGCGATGAGTCCATCGGAGAATCCATGGCCTTGGTGATCAATTGCGCAAGTGATGAAACCGGATTTAGCGAAAAGGATTGATGTGAGCTGGAGGAACCAGCTGGTTTCGCCGGTGAAGCCGTGAACGACGGCGATGATACCGATTGGTTTAGTTGGAGGGAGTGGTGACCACCATTGAGTGAAGAGTTTGAGACCACGAGGGTTGGTGATGAAAGCGGAGGAGTGGCTAACGGAATGTTTGGCGTAGAATTCGTCGGCGGTGAGAGATCCGAAAGGATTGTGTTCGTCGGCGTCGGAAATTGGATGCAAACCCATTTTTTTTTGTTTTTCCCCCAAAATGTTGAGAGAAGGGGAAAGAAAAGGATGTGTGGTGTGGGGTTTGGTTAACCGTTGAGAGGATTTAATGACGTTTCATAAATATATGGCTACGATCTGGTGGTGTAGGGACACATGCTTTTAGTGTGGACACGCGAACTACTCCTGATTTTTGGGCCCGCTTTGGTTTTTTTTCAGTTTCAAATCTTTTTGGGTTCTTATTTTCTTAATACTATGTTTTAGTACGATGCTTAAGGTTGAACAACAACTCGAACTTTTTAAAATGGAAATTAAACTAAAATTTATTGGGTCAATATTTAGATTTAGGTAGTAATAAGATATTAGAGGAAAGAATCCCAAAATCCCTTGAGATTCTTGACTGTTGACTATTTGGTTCTTTCCATCTTATATAAGTCAAAAATAGTATACGTGTGAATTCCAAAAGTAGACATTTACTTTCCACTGTGATTTGCTTTCCACTTCTAACCGAACAGCAGTCAAAAACTGAAAATAGTATTATTATGTTGCCTTCGCATTGAGAAAATAACCAAATACTCAAAAATACTTTAATTTTTTCAGTTATTAGGATACGAATAATAACCAAAAAATATTCAAAAAATTTTTGGTTCCTAATCGATTCTTCGATCAAAAAACCAAAATAGTTGGAATAGAACTGAACCAAACTTCTAAAACAACCGAATGGATACCAAAATCAAAAACCAAAATCGAAACCCAAAAATACCGAACCGAATACCCGGATTACTGCACATCGTGAAAAGATATCCTCCATACTAAACTGATGGGTTGGTTGTATAGTACATAAATCAAAATTTTGTTAACTCGTCTGATGAAATTCATTCTCAGCAAATAATAAAAATACGAAACAGAAACTTTCTTTTAACTGATAATATTATTAATTATATAAGTAAGAGATGAAACCAATGTCGCTCACCAGACGAACCATCCTAAAGCTCTGCACCTGAGGTTTTTTTTTTGTCTCTCTTATACCCTAACAATAATACTAATACATGAAAAGATTGTACACAAAAGAAAGACACTTCCCAAATATCTTAAAAAGATGTTTCCTAACATTACAGGGAAGTATCGAACCCTAAGTAAACAATGGAGGTGTTGTCCTTTGTACGCATCGCTCTAGCTTCATTCAGCAGACCGTTTGCTATCTTCTCCGCAATATTCTCTGTCCCTCTCTCTTTCTCTCTCATCTGCCATTGTTTTAAAACATAAACATCACATGAGATCGACGTTTTCAGACATAGCAAATGTCTCGACGATTTAGAAAATGTTTTTACCTGAAGTACCAGCTGCACAGCTTTCTTCGGACTTACCACGTCCCATAACCCGTCACTGCAGTATTTGATTTTCAAAATTAGCGAACAAGAACGAGAAAAGGAGAAAAGTTTATTATGTTTATGTTTTTCTTACCTGGCCAATACAGCAAAGACATCTTTACTAGATTGATCGATACGCAAAGGCTCACTTATATATGGCTCTGCACTGAAACGGCTGTCTTGCTGCTTTGGAAATTTGTCTCCAAGCATCCTCGCAAGGTTTATACCTGAAGAAAATTATCAAATCAGATCTGGTCATTTCGTTATAATGAAGTTGGAATCACCTGAGCGTGTTTAATTCCTGAGCTAATACCGAAGATCCGAGTCTCTCCATCCCTCAAGGGTACTCCTGCTTCTTGGAATCGTTTTCTCTCGCTCAAGCTCACCACTCGATGATCTTCAGTCATTTGTATATTTCTGCCATCAAGACTGACAAATGCAAACCAAATCATAATCAGTCAAAAAAACTCGAAGTTACTATTATTATGCCGAGACCATTAATTCGTAAGAGTAAAACAACTATCCAAATTTGTGACAATTAATTAAGATCGAGGAAAATGTAGGGATAAACTCTCTTTCTATATCCGCAATTCCGCAAAGCAAAGCAACGATATTCAAATATTCTTTTTCTTATCCAAAAAATTCTACTCCGATGTGAAACAATCTCATCTATTGATGTCTATTTACTCTACTATAAAGCCTATAGTAGTAATAATCTACTGTCTCCAAAACAAGAGGTTTCCATTAAGAAGACCACACTCACTCACGCTTTAAAAACGCAAGATCTTTGTTTCTAATCTGAGTAATCAAGTCCCCTCCCTCTTTCTACACCAAGAAATGCTGCTACAAGTCTGGTTAATGCAAGCTCAGCAACTAAGAATCTCAAGAATAGCAATATAATATTTTTTACGTACTGGATAACACATGCTGAATCCCCAAGATTGGCACATTGTGCGAAGAAGTTTTCTTCATTGTCTTTCCAAACCAAGAGAACAGTAGCTGTACAACCCTGCATTGATCGACTAGTTCATTAAGTAGGAAGCAATGAAAAAGTTCCAGCCAAGTAGTCAAGAAGACATACATGCAATCAAAGGAAAGAAAAGGACAAACTGAAATACCTCATATTGGTGTTCATCGAGGCGAGCTTCTGTTTTAGCAAACATGTCCCTAAGGACGTCCGAAGCATCCCTTTTTGATAACACTTTCTCCTTCCTCAGCGAGTCTGATAAAATATTACCTAGAACCTCCGGAATAATTCTGGAGAAGAAGTTTAATAAGCTTGCATATTCAAGTATATAATTGTTTGGAAAAAAGTAAATCAAAGATGCTCCAGTTGTTAGTGAAGGCTCCTAAGATATAATGACTAAGCCTATTTACAGAAATGACAGAACAAAGTTTCATATATTTGTTCCTGGCTGTAACCACGCCTGCCATAACTGTAACGCATTTACATGGCTAAACACATGCAGCTAAATTTTAAACTACATAAAAAGTTCGTTAATAAATGAAGCACATCATTCAACAAAAACTCAGAAAGGCGGATGCTATTAGAAGTTTAAACACAGCCAAAACCGCAGCCTTTTTCAGTTTAGGACATTTTCTGTAGGTTAAGCATAAAAAGAAAACCCAAAATAAGACATATCGAGGAGGATTTTATAAAAGAAATAGTTAATAGAGGTGATTTAACTTTTTTTAGAATGACTCACTTGATTGCGGATTCAGCAGCCCCTGATCCCCCATGTCCATCACAAACACAAAACAGTCCAAACTGAAACCATATACATTTGGAATTACGTTAGCAGAAGCAGTGAAGCCCATCATCATACAAACAACTCAAATCACAAATCAAGGTAACCTTATTAGCCCCAGGAAGCGGCCACTTGTAATGACAAATATCTTCCATCGGAAGTTTCTTGCCTCCTCGACGTACAGCCATGGGATCTGAGGCCACACCAATTTTGAAGGGTATCTGAAACTCATTCTGAGATGAGATACGGACCTTCCAAAGATGAAAAGAAATTGCATTAAATCAATAAGGAAAACAAAAAAAATTATTAGCAAGCACCTTTAACCACTCAGATCGACTTACATAGACCTTTGTAGTTGTTCCCAAAGTTATTATATCATCACTTGCAAGCTCGACAGGGTTACCCCACTTCCGGCTGCCTAAATCAGGATGACTTACTGACTGAGAGTTTACGAGAGTTCCATTGAGGCTACCCATATCTACCAGCTCCCATTTCAATTTCTGAAATCAAATCCAGGCAGGTTTGACACACAGTGTAATAAGTGACATGCAGAAGTCGTATAAATAAATCTATGTAGCTCCTTACAGTAGAGTTCCATGTTATCTGTGCATGTTTTCCTGAGACTTCTGAGTCCTTCAATGCCAAATCAGAAGGAGAAACCCTTCCAAGTTTCACTGGCAGCTTGGAGGAACTTGTGGAGTTCACAACATGTTGAAGCCCAATGGCAGGACCCGCAATGACTTCCAGGGACAGCCAACTTCCTGCACTTCTAACACAAAATATGATATATGTCTTGCAAGACTAATTGAAAAAATGGATTGAGGTTGTATTACACACCCTAGGCAAGCAAAAGAATAAGAAATTACTTTGATCTTCCACGAGTCCCGGAGAAAGATTAGTAAGTCTATCCTTTTCCAGATCATATTGCAAGTTTTCATTTCTGTTATTCTGCCAGTCATATGTTTGCACTTCTGTCAAGGAACCTTTCTCAGCTGGAAGTTTAAGCGTTTGGCCCACCAAAGCATTGTCAGAAGGTTCAGAAATTACTTCTAGAACGAAGCTTTCACCTACATAATTTAGGGCAGATTGACAAGGTCAAGCATGAGTGATGCATAGAGATCATAATGCAAAGAGGATGTTTCTGTAACAATTGTATCATTTCCATCAAGCTAATGATGTAGACTCAATCCAGCTTGTCTACACCAGAGCTGGATAACTAGCAGGGGAGGAAAGAGGCAACGAGTACCTTGGGTGAAATGGGGAGATGATGAAGGAAGCCTTTGTTTGTAAAACCGTCCCTCAGTCAGAGATGAATGCAAAAGTCCATCATTTTGGTAGCAAGCTCCCTCTAAATCATATTCCCTTGTTACCTCACTGGTTTGGCCTTGGGTCAAATTTCCATCATCAGATATAAGTGGTCTCTGCAAATCCCCCACCTGCAAAGAATGGCGCTGAAAGAATTAGGGCTAGGACGGAAGCAAAAAAAGTTACGTAAACTGGATGCTCAATAGCTGAAAAATGAGAAACTCAATTGAGAAAAGAAAATATTTCCCTATGAAGAATGTAGTAATAATATGCTGGATTTAGTTCTTATACAATTTTAGTATGTTATCTAAGTTATGGAGAAATTGCAAACAAATGAAATCTACGCGCGAAAAAAGATTAGATGGATGAGCTGTATCCTATTTCCAATGAGAATAAACCGCCTGCTAGATTAGTAAGGAGTAGAGTTTAGCAGAACTAGAACATAGATGAATAATAAAATACAAAAAACTCACACAATTCCAACAAAAAAGGTAACTAATGAGGAAGAATTCCTCCCACAATAATTTCTCCACACTGAACTGAATTCTTGCAACATTCACAATGCCTTATATATATGCACCAAGCTCCAAATTCAGAAACAAATTGACAGTTTTCGCAAGCAAATTAACACGAGTTCCCCACCTCCTATGTATGTCTAAGTGCATATCAACAGTTTGAGCACAAACTTCCGTGAAAAATCTCAATCGCCTACTGAATCAAACATGGCTGGAGGACAAGAACATAGCACACAACATATTTAAACAAAACATATTTTGTGCAAATCGAGCAGGCAGAGAAAATCTAGATACACTCATTACAAAGCAAACGAATCTATCAATTCTTGAGCTACAAAAGAACCTAACAACAGCAAGAGAATCCTCATTCCAACAGTAAGAAAAGTCAACAACACATTCTCATTTCCAAAAAGTCAAATCAAATTATTCAGAAAACCAAACACACAATATATCTCACCGCCCCCGCGTCGACACAATCAATCAACGAAATCGCCAATAACCCCAAATACTCACGAAATCCACGAGAAAGGCATCATATGATCCAGCGACGTAACACTTGTCACTGATGAATGATCAAAATCCTTATCAATTGGATCATTTCGCGAAAACCATTCGACACGAAATCGAATCAAATCAAAACGAAGACGTGGAACGAAGACGCAGGAGATTGAATAGAGAATGAATGAGAGAAGAGGAAGAAAACCTTGAAGCTAGAAGAAAAACGAGAGGATCGGAAACGAGAAAAGTATCGCCATGGCTTGCAGGCGAAAAGGATGATGAGGGAGATGAGAAGCAACATAAGCACCATGAATAACCCAATAATGTTCATCATCTCAACCATCGCCATCGTCTTCGCTTCTCTCTGCACCCCTCCTCTTTCCAGATTGGTTCCCGAGAACCTCGCTTTGAATTTTTCTTACCTTCTTTTTTTTTTTTTTTGGTCTCTCTTATCGAAATTTCACTGTCTTTTTATTTTCACTGGTAGAGATAGACTCGAGAGTACATTATCCCTAACTCGTTACACGATTGGTTAGAATTGGATTATGATAGCTAATTATCACCTCCTTGAGTTACTATTGGTTAATATGTGGATTAACCTACAGATTATGAGATTTTTGTTTTTTACACTGGATTTATGGTTTTTTTTTTTTTTAATATATATATATATATATATATATATATATACTAGGTGGATACCCATGCTAGTTAAAAAAAAACTACTAATTAAATAGAACAAATTTTCTTGTAAAGAAAAAAGGTTATGTTTTATGAACATGTATGTGTTATGTAGATATGATTCTAGAAATCTCATTAATCCGGTGTTTATTGATTCAGAAAGTATTAAAAGTTCGGTATATCTACACGACTTCATGTTTAGATATATTTCGAGTAACATCTATAAAATCGGTAAAATATAGAGTTACACAAATAATGATGGTAACGTTTTTGGCATCGTTAATTTTACCGCACTTTTGTATTTGGTAAACAAAAATAACGGAATACTTCTTACCGTTGCGATAAATGATTACTAATCAAAAGCTTACTGTTTTTGTATTGAATAACAGAAATAACGGAATAATTCTTACCGTTACGATATTTGATTACTATTCAAAAGCTTACTGCTTTTGTATTGAATAACCGAAATAACGGAATAATTCTTACCGTTACGATATTTGATTACTATTCAAAAGCTTACTGCTTTTGTATTGGGTAACAGAAATAACGGAATATTTCTTACCGTTGCGATATATGATTACTAATCAAAAGTTTTAACTGGCACAAAATAGCAAAATAAACCCTAATGTAGTAAAATTCTAAACATTAATGTATAATACATTCTAATATAACAATCAATCAGTCTTGTACTCATCACATTTATGCAACAGACAAGCACACACACACACAAAAAAAAAATCATATTCCTAAGATTTTATAAAACATAGTAATCGAAAATGTTTATGCAAGTTAAAACATGTTATTCAATTACCTTTATTCTTGAATCAGAGAGATCGTCTTCCATTTTCTTTAATTCGTTTTATCAGCAAGTGTGGCTACCCCATGTTTAAAGTCCCATATGTATTTATACTATACCAACATGCATACACAAGATTGGAAATTACATAATGATACTAATTAATCAATTTTCAATATATTATCCATTTGGTAACGTTTTTATTTTTCTTGACTATGCTTTAAATGTGGTAAACATATACGAAATATAATTTGGTAACATGTATCCCATAATACAATTTTTTCCATTCATTTCCTTCTCAATTTTGTGTATTTAAAGACTGTCAATTTGTTTATTTTTGTTATGGTTGTGCACAAAGACAACAATCGGAATAGCATATAAGAAACTTTGGAGTTGTTAGAATCGTCAGCTGGTTACGAAAACGGCCGGTCAAGCCTTTAAAAAAGGTTCAAAAGATGATGAGATGGTCTACTTCTCAAGTCATAATTGGTCATCACAGAGGACACATAAATCGTGGTTGCGAGAATCGTAATTGAACCTTCTCTCTTTGCTAGATCAAATTTACTATATATGGTTCTTGTCAATTTTGTGTTTACCTCTCTTGTGAGCATATATGTTTATCCTTTATTATTTTATAAACAGTTTCAACTTTAGCTACACACTATATGGCTGATGAGTTTTGTAATCTTGTTAATTTAATATCGTTATCCTTTTATCAAAAACTATACCCTTAGACTAATGTCTAACGTATATTTTTAAGAAGATAGAATTTTGCAATTTTTTTATTTAATTTGTAACTTGTATTTAATTAAAAATTCAGAAATTCTATCTCTCTCTCTTTTTTTTTTTAATCTTGCTTAACAAAAATTATATATTGCTTCCAGGTACACGTGTGGATTTGAGTGTGCAAGCGGTTGAAGAACAGAGACCATGGCTTAATGCGCAACAGGTAGATACATATGGCACACGCTTTCGGGGGACGAGCTTGGATCCCAAGTGGTCTCCTCCAGACATAGGAGTGGTTAAGTGTAATGTGAATGCTGATTGGAGAAACGCTGATATGATGGGAGGGGTGGCTTGGATTGCTCGTGATTGTTATGGTTCGGTTCTATACCATGCAAGAGAGGTTTTTACAAGGTCTTCAAATAGGATCATGGCCGAGTTGCGTTGTATCTTGTGGGCTGTTCAAAGCTTACGAGATCTTTGTTTGGAAAACGTGATAATCTCTTCGGATTGTCAAGCTGCAATTGCTGCCTTGTGTAATCCTCGGGATTGGCCTCGATATGGAATGTGGCTCGATGCTATTTTCAAAACTGCTAAATCATTTCGTTTTATCACCTTTGAGCTGGTGTCTTGTCCTGCTAATTTCATTGCACGGGACATTGCGGAGAGTGTTATTAGGGATGGTCGTTTTAACTCGTACCTTGCTGCACGTGGACCGGTGTGGCTTCAGTATCAGTTACATAGTGAGGCGCAACGTGGACCGGCGTGGCTTCAGTATCAGATACGTAGTGAGGCTCAATGTGGACCGGCCTGGCTAAATAATCTGTTACGTAGTGAGCCGCAAGGTGCACCGGCCCGGTTTCATAATCGGTTACGTAATGAGCCGCAAGGTGGACCGGCCTGGCTTTATAATCGGTTCCGTAGTGAGGCTCAAGCTGGACCGGCGTGGCTGTAGTGAGTGAGGCGGAAGGTGGTGTTTAGTTTTTTCGTATTGATAATTTTGTTTCTCTTTTGTACTGTGTTTTTGCAATTTAATTATCTCAGGTAAAAAAAAAAAAAAAAAAAATACCTAATAATACAGATTAAGGAGGGTATGTTGTTGTTCGATTGTAATTCCTTTTTAATTAGTTCGTAATAAAATGTGGAAGACAATTGTCTTCCCCTCTCTTACCAAAAAAAAAAAGGAGGGTATGTTGTTTTTGTATCATCAAGAAGAAGATACATTACGAACATTTGTTCATATGAGCACAAAAAAGGTCTCCCCTCTCTCCTCTTTTCTCGAACTTCTCTCTAAAAAACAAAACTAGGTCTGGCCGCCGTGTTCGGCTCCGGTGGCTTACACAGCACCGGAGTCGACTTAGATCCATTTAGCTTTTTCTCCTTTTGCTTCTTGTTACTGTGATGGTAAATCGTCTCGTGTGTGGGTGAGTTGTTTTCCGGCGTGGAAGAGTTGGAGGCATGTGGAGAGCAAGATCTGTGAGCGGTGGTGCTGGTTTGGTCGGATCTATTGAAACTGAAGATGTGCGACGGGACTTCCGGTGGCATTAGAGCTTGGTCTTCAAATCAATTCATAGATCTACTTCTCCTTTTCGTCGTTCTTGTGCAGAAGCTTAGGTATCTTTGGTCTCTGTTCTCTCGTTTCTCCTCTTCTCATCCGGCGGCTCCTTGGTTTTTTGACCAAACCCTTGTTGCGAGGCCTTTCTATTCTCGGTTGTTTTTAGATGTTTGTTTATTTTTTGGCTTTGGGTTTGTTGTTGTTGGTAGGTTCTGGTGGTTTAATATTTGAATTGCTGGGTCTTGGTTCTGCTCTCTGTTATGCTCTCTGTTATCACTAGAAAGCTCCGGGGATTGGTCGTAGTGGCTGATTTTGGATAGCTTTCGAATTATCTCCTATTTGTTCGTTGAATCTTTTAAGTCTGTCTCCTTCCACCGCCTCTAGTTTAGTTTAATAAGTAGTTTTTCTATCGTGGTCTGTTACTTTCTGTTCTTGTAAGGCTAACCTTTTGTGGGAATGCAAAGTTCTAGATTTAGACTTGTTCGTTAGAAGACTAGGTGGTTAGGATTTAGATTCACGACGTTGCTTCTTATGTTCGGAATAATCGTTTTTAGTTGGGTTATGTCTTCGCGGTTTCCTCTATCCTTGGCTCTTCTCCATTTGCGGTTGTAGGTCCTCTTGTCCGCGACCTTTGAGCTCTTAATTCCGCGATTATTGTTCTCCTCCGACTTTCCTGGTGATTTATAGAAAGTTTTACTTCTCGACTTTAGTATATTTTCTTGTGTTTCCCGAGTATCGGGCTTTAGCTTCCGGGGATTTCTTTATTTTCTGCCGGCTTTTGGATTTCAAAAATCGCATCCCAAAAATGTATTCCACCCCTGTATTCCTCTCGTGTTATATATAGGGGTGTCAAGTTGGTTAAACCAAACCAAACCAAACCAAACCAATCCATATCCATATTGATTTAGTGTTTAATGGTTAATGAATCAATCCAATTCATTTAGCAAATGGTTTGGATTAACCCATAACTCATTTAAATGAGTGGATTAATGGATTTAATGAATTGATCCATAACATAGTTTTCTTATAATTTAAATCCTAATTAATTGATAATTAGTAACTATCATGTTGCCGCCACCACCATCATCATCACTCCATCACTCCATTGTCATCAATTCACCACCACCACCACCATCATCATCATCATCATCACCGTCGTCGTCATCGTCATCGTCGTCGTCGTCATCATCGTCACCGTCATCATCATCATCATCACCGTCGCCGTCGTCGTCATCATCATCGTCACCGTCATCATCATCACCATCACCGTCGTCGCCATCATCGTCGTCGTCATCGTCGTCGTCATCATCGTCGTCGTCCTCATCGTCGTCGTTATCGTCATCGTCATCGAAATACTTGAAACAATGATCATTGGTTCATAAATTGATCACAAAAAAGGTTTACGCTTGCGACACGGTTACACTAACGCAATCGACAGTTCAACACAATGTCCCAAAACGACGACCAAGGACTCCATGAGTGACGGTGAGGGATTCGAGTGTCAGTGGCTTTGCCGGTGAAACCATAAGATTGAGAGAGATCGACAGTGAGAGATTTGACGCCGAGAGGGATCGATGATTAAGCGATTTAAGAAAATTATGTTTATTTCGGTTTACTAAAATCGGTTTAGTTATTTAATTCGGTTATATTTGGTTTACATATTTGATTTCAATTATTTAATTTTTATTGGTTTGGTTATGGATAACCCATTAATCCAAATTAAACCAAATCATTTCAATCCAACTCATTAAACTCATTTAACCATTTAATCAATTAATCCATTAATATCCAAATTTTCAACTCATTAGATCCATGAGTTGAATTGGTTTGGATTGATCCATCAATTTTAAACCATTTTGACACCCCTAGTTATATACTAATGAAAATCTTTCAGTGAAAAAAAAAAAAAAAAGATTAATTATTTTAAAAAGAATTTGTAAGGAGCCTAGTGTGACACGTGACACGTGCAAATTCGTTCCAAGAAATTTTATTTTTGTTTCCATGGCGATTCCAGGAAGAGAAGAGGAGGTCACGTCCGTCGTCACACGGCTCCGAGTCCGATCCCCAGATTAATACCACGATACTGTTCGCTATGCCATTGTCTCCCTTCTTCGTCTTCAACCTTTTTCCTCCTTCAATTTTATCAACCCTAAACGCTTCGTTAATCGCGCGTACTCAAGTTTCAATGGTGAGTCGATTTTGTGGGAGACGTATCTCGGAAACCGAAAATTTAATTGCTACGACGATGTCGTTACCCAGATGTTCCAATTGGTGCGTGCCTTTTCTATCTTGACACACACTTACACATAGAAAATATGTATAAATTAATCCGAGAAAGGGAGAGCAAGTGGAGCACTTTACTACACTATCATGTAGATAGATGAATTTTCTTTATTTCGACCTTGTTATTGCATATTTTTTAGCCTGAATGTTGCTTTTTTTTTTTTGTCTATAAGCGTTGGAAATTTCTGATGTTCAATGAAATGTGAAGAGTCATTAGTCATTGTCTTCTCTATTGTACCGTGAAGATGTTGAATTCTTGAGGGTTTCATTTTGATGGGCAACATTATATAGACTTGATTTAGAGATTTAGTAGCTAGGGCTATGTTAATGACATTGTATGATGAAGAGAGATTTCTCTATTCTACATTACTTATTGAGAGATGGAGTAATGGTAATGCTACATCCTACATGCATTTATCTTTCTTACAATCAATTAACTACACTCCTGTTTGGTATGCCATTTTGTTCAACTTCTCAACTATTGTATCTTACCTTTTACCTCAAATGGACATGTGTTACCGGTTACCGGTGCAGCCTAAGCTAAAAAAAACTGTACATGTTTTTCGTGAAGATTGTCCATGTTGTTGTTCTACTCTTTTTGTTTTACATAACAATATTATAGCCCTCTCTTTCTATATATCTCTTATTAGCTTGATTCATTTTAACATAATCGTATTTATTGAGTGTTTTCCCATTTCTAGAAACTGAATCATTCAATAACTTTGAGTGCTAAAAATGGCTTTGATTTGTTTCTGCCTCAATCTTGGCTCTAAGTGAAAGTTCAGAATTTTCCTCTAAATTTTCCCACTGTTTACAGGTTCAAGATATTCCAGGCATGGCGCAACCATGGCGAGCTTTCTGGTGTGAGATACGAAATCATCTTTGCTGGATCAACATATCTTTTCATTTGGATAAGACCGAGCTGATGAAGAGTCATTGTTCCTATAGTGCATCAATGTAAGTTTTACCTGTGTTATTTTGTTCTTATTAATCCGTACTTGAGTCGTTATAACTAGACCATGCTAAAGCTTTTTTAAAAATGTTGACATCTAATCTGTTGAAATTTTTGCGTGTTTGGATGATATGTGAGTAAGACATTAGTTATGGATGAGATTGATATTTCGTGTGGATGTCATGCTTCCGTAAAAGCAAAGGAGAAAGTTCTATTGCTTAATAATCTTTAATTTCTATTCTTTCTCTACCTAAAAGTTGTAAATTATGTTAGCCAATAATATTTGTATGCATGGCTTAGATAAGCTCCCTGTCTCATTCTAATGATATAAATTTTCTTTCTGGGTCAGAATTTTAAAAGTTGGAGAATTGGCACATAAAGGTTCCACTAATTTGGTCAAAAAGATGGTGGAAGGCTTATTTTTTATTTTTTCTGTTATGCAATTTATAGTGAGCCAAGAGATGCAATACTCGTGTTTTACGCTGTGATCATAGAACATAGATGGAAACGTAAGTCTTAAGTTTATGTCTCCACTTAACTTCAAGTGGTATGACGTATTTCCTTTACCTTTAGATCCTCCATTAGTTGAAAACTTGAAACTAATAACAAACATTGATGGATTATGATTCGAAGTTTCACTCTGTTTTTTTTCTTTCTTCTTTTAACTTTCTTGCGTCATGGGCATGAACCAAGCGAGTGATACGAAGTCAAAATATATTCTGATTTAAATTTGATGCTTTTGGCCTCTGTCATTACTCACTTAATTATTGTAATCTTAATCATGTATAAAAAAGCAGCTTTTGTATGAGGACACACTCAAAAGCATTCTCCCTTCGAGAGGCCAAAGGTTGCTGTGCTACTTTCTTCTCTTCTATGGGGGGTGGTTCGGATCTTGGGACCACCTCTGCTGATCAAGATTCAATTTGTGGATATTTGTCTGGAGATTACGTCTGCAGGTCAGCTCCTTTTTTTTCCACTTTTATTAGTTAAACTATGTCATAACTTTCTTACTCTTGCTTACGTTAGAGAATCCTAATTATTGTTTCATTCTTTATTCATTCTAAGCATGTCAACTAGTTGCTTAATTATATCATTCTTGATTCCTTCAGCAGAGGGAGAGTGACTAGAAAAACCATCATAGTTTTATGGATAATTAATAGCAAAGCATTGATTGCGAAATTACGGATTACTGAGTTATATAGCGAAAATTGAAAAGTATCTTGGCTAGATCTATTTCCATAAACCACAGGCTCTTAATAACACATATTGACCACATTTCTGTTCTATATTACATTTGTGCATGTTCTTGGTAAATTCAAATGAGAAAAAAACAAATCTTGATTTGCCTCTTCTAGTGGACTAAGTAATGCTTGATCAACCACCGGGAATATATAGTAGGATGCTCCTTGTTATAGAAGCTGAGTACTGATATTGCATATTGGAAACAATCTGACAACAGTAAGAATGGTTTTCCTTTGTTGTTATAATATATAATCAAAGGTATCTTTGTACCAAATCCTTTAAGACTTAATGACCACAGAAATCTCTTGAAAACATAAACTAAAATCCACTTGCTTTGCTCATGTCGCAATAAACCTCGAAAAGACACGGAATAGGTGATTAAAGTTGATCATAGAGTTATACAGCACACAAGCTAGCATTATGCTCACAGTTCATCAATGGTAGTAGCTACACATTCTTTTATTATGACACAAGTACAAAACTGAGATGGCTTTTTCTGTTACAGGAAACCCAGGAAGATCTCACAAATCTCTCCCCCACCCTCTTTGGAATAGGAACAGCTCACGCATTCTAGCTTTCCTTTGTTTAGAGAGAAGAGTACTAGGTTACAGTAGTTTATATAATAATAAATCCACAAGCCTTAGAGTTAAGCAAAAGTCAGTGACCCTAGGGCATTTGTTTACTATGGAAATAAAAGTGTCTTTTGTTGTTTAGAATGGGGTTAAGTACGTAAGCATCTGATTTAACAGAGAGACAGAAGAAAGAAAAGTGTTTTAGTGGGGAATCACTTGGTTCTTGCTGACGACTTAAATGAATCTTAAACTCTGTCTTCTTAAGCTGTTCCGTACGGTTTCTTTAGGGTAACACATGGGCTTAAGAGGGCAAATCTTGAAAGTTTAATCTCAAATTCAAATTTCTGAAAAAAGCACCTTACTGTTGGCTAGATTCAAAGGACAAGGTTTGATGTTAACTTAAGCCAATATTTTCCAGAGTTAGAGAAAAGTTTTTGATGTTGAAACATTGGTAGTTTCTTCTTATTTGTCACTAAACCTTATTCTATTTCATTTAATCAAAACCTTGGTCACTTTGATTTGATGTGTTTCGTTTAATAATTTCTGTTCGCATTAATTAAAAAATATTTTTTCTTTCATTTTTAGGTCATAATAAGTGGGCGGAAATTTGGGTTTGGCTTCCTTGCATTCAAATACAGTGTAATAGAGGTCAGTGTATTTTCGGCACACTCTTTGTTTTTTTTTTTTTTTTTTTTTTTAATGTCGTGGTTTCTTGATACATGACAATTTCTTCAACTTGTGACCATTATTTTCTAAACATTTGCATGGAGACTCATTTTATGCTGATTCCTTGATTAGTGCCAATAATCATTTTTATTTTCTTTCTGGTAGATGGGATATAGATTTCAAAATTAGTGGGCTGTTGTTATCATGTTGTTTAAATCGGGTCTAAGAATTACCCGACATAAGTTTTGACCATCCATGCCTATCAGCCTATGTGACACACGACTCTTTGCTTTAAATGATGTGAAATGGAGACTACTATTATTAGAGAGAAAAACAAACAATCGTTTTCATAATCATAGCACTATTATAACTTTTGTTGGATTGTTTTATTTTTTTTTGGAAGGTAAAACATAAAAAAGAAAGAGCAAAACCTGTCTGTAACTTTTTGTCATGTTACTCCCATTGCGTGTCTCTCTCTAAGTGGCCATATGTTTTTTTCGTATGCGTTTGGTTTTGCTTTTTCATTCAGATGTTAAATTGTTGTTATTACCTTAATAAAATTCAAAATTTTACTCTGATCTTAGTAAAGACTTCATTTGGAAATATTATTCACTAATTTCTGTTTCTCATTAGGAAATGTCTCGTTCTCTCTAACTTTTTTTTTTCCTTTATCTGGGTAGTCTCTTTCAGTCCCAGATCACATGAGGGTCGAAAGTTCCTTGGCTGCTGAATAATTCAGTCTTTATTTTTTTTGCCAAATGAGTCAAAAACGATGATTAACCAAGTTTCCTGTATAGTCTATGCTTTCCAAATCTTTTCATATTAACAAACAAACAAATCAGATTTTTTTTCTTTTGTAACAGTAAAAAGATTATATGAAGAGTTTTTCAATTTTATTCATGTGCACTATACTACACTGACTCTCTTTGTTAGTATTCTTATCTGAATTTGTGTGGCATAATCAAATAATAAATATAAAATATTTTGCATTATTCAAGTGGTGGTGTGGAAAAGCTCTCTTACCCACCTCTCTAGTCTCTGCACATTGCACAGTCACTTCTCTTTCTCTTTATTTTCTTTATTTATTTTATTCACTTTTTGTGACACTACAAATTGGCATCACCTCCCTCTCATTATCCTTCATGCTTAAGTCCAAAAACATCTCTCTGCTTCTTTAGTTTCATATCTCACAAGTCTTTGCTCTCTCTCTCTTAACAGATTTTTTTTTATCCTCTTTAAACTATGGGAACTGTTGTGTATCAACAAGGGTTTCAGTCTCAGCTTAATGAGCCTAGGGCTTTAAGGCTTAGGCTATCTTCACCAAATCCTCACTTCTCTCAACCCTTTGGTCTAGCTCTCAAGTCTCATTTACTTGACTCCTCTAATGCAGAGGACACCCGTATCCGTAACGATGACAAATCTGCTGCTTCCTCGGGCCCTGACTTGAGTGGCTGGAGCTTTCTCCAGTCCCTATCCTCTGGCTCCTCCTCCTCATCCACAAAGACGACAAGCTCTGAGAAAGAGAAGACTTATGTTCAACGTCCGTCCTCTTGTAGAGCTCTAAGCGACCAGAGCTTAGCATTGTGCACTGAGAATCTCGGAAGCGAATCTGGTTCTGATGTTACAGACATCGATGATTTGTTCTCGCTTGACGTGCAGACCAAGAATCTCGGGGAAACAACAACGGAGACAAGAACGGTAAAAAGTAGGAAAAGGAATTTGAGCCCTAGTGATCTCCCACCTCCTTTGACTACGATGAGAGGGTTTCAATGCATTCAAATGAGACCACACCGTGAAGACGGAAGATTGGTCATGACCGCCACAAAGGCACCGCCTCGTAACGGGTGCTTTCAAGCTGACCGTAGCAATGGTCGTCTCCGTCTTTCTATCTTGAAAGACTCAGATGAGTTTGTAGAGAACGAAGAAGAGACGATTGAGCCTGAAGAACCCGAAGAATACGAGGAGGAGGAGGAGGAAGAGGAAGAAGAGGATGATGATGAAGTTATGGGCATTGAGAATGTTCAGATGTCAAGAAGATGTGTTCAAGGCGACCGGGAAAACAGAGGATTGCTAAATTGGGAATCTTTCTGCGTTGCTACTTCCTAAAAGAGAGAAACTTGTTAATCTGCTCTGTATTTACAATTTCATAATTTTTTTTCCCGATGTGTGTAATATTTTTTAATAGAAATATCGCGTTTCCTAACTCGGGAAAAAAAACTCAAAAGTAGATTCAATTAACTTAAAATAAAAATGATAAAATAATGGGAAGAAATGGGGCAGAGGGAATATGCTTGTGGTCTGGTCGGCAGTTAATCTAGTTTGGTAAGAAAGATTCCCTGATCAGTGGTTCGAAATTAGTGGCAACCTCAACTTCGTTAGGACGAGAAGATTCCTTTTATTATTATGCCAATTCATCTTCCAGCAAATTATATCGAATTAATTGCATGTATATTATATGATGAATAAGTAGGATCGATTACAACAACTTGTGATATAGGAAGCTCCTAAATTGAAGAAGAATCTTCTAAAAATTTCAATGCTTTATTATGATTAGTATTCTTCACATTTAAAGTTCTATGATAAAAAGAGTACAGATATACATTTAGATTTCTCTTTGATAGCAACAACAACAACAAATTAAAAACATAATTAAGCTCTAAATCATCCCCAACAGAGAATTAATGAGCTCAAGCAAATAGTATGACCCAAAACTTCTTCTTTTTTGGCTTTAATGTTATTTTCTTGGTTTTAGTGTTAAAGATCAAAAGTTTGTGTAATATAGAATTAATCGGCTAAATACATAGGATCGTAGGCCGGTATCCCTATATAGAATAATTTCTTGTTAGAAAATATTATAATGAAACACGGATCAAATTAAACAAAAGTCACTTTTTAGTTATAAAATATTAAAATCAAAGTTAATTGTTTGGTCATCGCTTAAAGATTTGAAAAATTCGAAAAGCAGAGAGGCAAAAGACAAAAAAAAAAAAAAAAAAAAAAAAAAACTGAAAAAGATAAATCAAAAAGCATATAATTTGTTTGCATTAAAGACGCAAAAAACATTATAAAGTTTAGCAAGCATTTTTGACGTCAATATTCTCTCAAACATAATCAATTATATTATAATGTAATAAGTATGAACATTTTTTTTTTATCAAAAAAAAGGAAGAAACTAGGTTGATCCGTACAATAACGACGTCATCACAACCCCGCATCTCTCCGCCAAATCAAAAGGCTTTCCATGTACGGACGGCGGATGTGTTCGGCGTTTGGTTAGAAACATTTTTAATTAATTAAACTTTTTCTTTAATTGCATATGGTTTAAACAAATTAATACTCCTACATCGTGATTAAAAGATTGACCTTTTTTATAGAATGACTACTTGAGATATATATTTAATATTAATGGCATGCAACTATATATGATATCCAAAAATGTATATATGAAATTATTATTTATTTCATAATCTGTACATAGTGAGACAGAATAAATTAGAAGGTAGTTCTCCAAATTAAATTATTACTAAATTGCAATAATATAGTGCAAGTGTCCACTCGGTTTCTCTTTATATGGAATATAATAATAATAAGAAATGTAGTGAGCGACACGTGAAACTCCATTGGCCTGCGCTTTGAAACTCTTTATGGGTAAGGTTTTGACTTTTTTGGTTATTGTTAATAATAACTAATTATAATTACTGTGAGTCTGTGAGTGCCTGTTGGTATATAAAAGCTCCTTTTCCACGTTCCTTTTCTTCCAAAGTAGTCTGCATGGGATCCGCGTCTATCCATTTCGATCGGTATTATTGCATGTTGAAATTTATTAATTTGACATAGCATTTTTAAAAATGGAATCATGTCAATACTCTTGATTTATTGCTAGTTTATGTAGTATAATTTAATGAAGTAACGATTAAGAGCCGATCGTAACAAATAATTGCACCAACAATGTTATTTGTTTTCTTTACAAAAATAAATTATTATTATTTTTTTGTTAAAATGAGAATTTAAGTTAATACGAACTTTTTTTTGTTCAACAAATTAATATGAACAACCTTCCAAAACTCATGAACAATTGAACCACTAGTGTTCACCAGACTATATATAACCATATTCGTTAACATTTATATATACAATTTCTCTTCTTCTTTTTTTAACGATTCATGTGTTTTCAGAGCTGCAACAAAATTAAAGCATTTGGGATCAATGGGTATTAATCCCCCAACTTGGAAGCCGATCTTTTTGTGGGTTTTAGATTCCGAATTTCTGAATGAATAGCAAACATATAACTTAGTGTCCCAAACTTAATCTAGATTGAGGAAGACAAGCTAATTCTAGGCAAATCGATGGAGTTTTAGATCTTTGAGACCTTGAAATTAAGTACCATTCGTTTTGCCCTCGACTGTTATGAAGTGTGTGTCTTCCGTTTCTGATAATATGGGGACTTGAACTGTAATATAGGGGACACCAATAATCTTGTTGTTGAACGCCTTTGTATTTCCTTTATGTCATCTTGGATAGAAGCCGGTCTAAAGATCCGATGATTCAAATCTAGATATATACGTGTTGATGTTCATATATTTTTGAACAAAAATGACCGATTAAACGTCATTTGTTTTTTTTTTTTTTTCCAATCTATGTAATTCAGTATAGCCCCCACCAACTTGACCTCTACATGATTAATGACGCAATGTCTTTGTGATGTGCTTCGAATAAGTTCAAACTTTTATGTTTAATCTGAAAATGTTGTGAGAGCATTTAGGTTCAAAAGTGGCAATTGGGTAGTTTATTTGTGGCTAAGCAGAGCAAAAAGATCGGTGAGTGATTTCAAGTATGTGGACGTCTGATATATACTATTAGTCTATTACGACCATTACGTCCTCTTTCCTTTCTATCCACAAACGGTCAAACGTCACATGAAGTCACCCTTTTGCCCTTATTTTTTTAGCTAGACATATACTTCATATTTTCATCATTTTTAGTTATTAAGCAAAAAAATTGAAAGTATTTATTTTAATTAAAACTTTTTTGTTCTTTGAATGTGGGCTTCCTTTAGATTCTTTATGCTGTCGCTCTCTTTGACCGAATAATTAACCAATTAACTTGTGAATTTGATTGCATCATCAAAATTATGTTGAGTACTATTAAAGACAATATGAAAAGCATTATGAATACCATGTATACTTAAAATAAGTAAAAACATGTATTCTAATAAATACTCCCTATGTTTCACAAAGAGTGTCATTTAGAGTTTTGCACACAAATTAAGAAAACATTAAATTTTTTGTTTTTTCTAAACAAAACATCATTAACTATATACCTAAACATAATCTGCCCAATAGTAAAACAATCTGCAGAATACTAATAGTCATAAAACATAAAAATCATTAAATTTTGTATTGAAAACCTAAAACGACACTTTTTGTGAAACGAAAATAAAACCTTAAAACGACACTCTTTATGAAACGGATGGAGTATTATCGCTTCTAAATTACTATTTTTAAAACTGAATTTCTAAATTCTTTCATTCTATATTGGGTTACCAATCAGATACTTTAATTAATATGTGTAGTTAATAAAAAATAAATATATTATCTCTTCTTGGTAACTAATTAAATACATGCATAATTTTTATGTTTCAAAATATATGATGTCTTGATTAAAAATACACATTTAAAAAAAAAATTATTTTTCTCTTAAGACTGTCATTTAAAATACTCAACCAATTAGAAAAAGAATGCGAATACAAACAGTCATATAATATTAGTTATGTTTAAAATTGCATAAAAAATTGTAAAGCATCATATATTTTGAAACAAAATAAAAACTCTAAAACATCCTATATTTTGAAACAGGGGGGATACAATTTTTAAAACATAAAATAGCTTTTTTTATTAACTAGTACTCCATATGTTTCACAAAGAGTGTCATTCTATCATTTTTCACACAAATTAATAAAAGTAAACAAATTTTGTTTTTACCCCTTATTAATACACTAAATAATACATTATCTCTAATTAATAAGCTAAAATAGTGAGGATAAAAAAGAGAATTAGTCTTTAAAACTGCATTGAAAATACAAAACCACTCTTTGTGAAACAAATTTTTTTTTTTTTTGATAACCCAGGTGTCCGGTCCCACCGAAGTGGCCCGACTAGCATCGTGTCCAAACGGAGCTGACGTGGTCATGAAAGCCTGCAGCCGCCATGTGAATTCCGCAGTGGCCAGGAATCGAACCCAGGTGGCGGTACCCCCAGCTGGAGGCCCTTTACCACTAGGAGAAAACTCATGGTTTTTGTGAAACGAGATTAAAACCTTAAAACGACACTTTTTGTGAAACGGAAAGAGTATTAAATAGTAAATACATACTCCATCCGTTTCGTTTTAGTTGTCGTTTAAGGTTTTCTCACACAAATTAAGAAAATCATTAAATGTTATGTTTTACCATTTATTAAGATATTTTATAATTTTTTCATTTGTCAAAACATTAAAACAAATAGGGATAAAACTGAAATTTTTACAAAATATTTGCATTGAAAACCTAAAACGACAACTATTATGAAACAAAATTTAAATCTTAAAACGATAATTAAACTAAAACGGAGGGAGTACAATTCTTTCTCGAGAATTTCAACTCATGTTAGAAGAAAAGAGATTTTTCCAATCGAAAATTAAACATAAAAAATTTGTACAATTGGACATGATAATTTGGCGGGTGTGAATGGATCCGTGAATCGTGAGTAGTGGTCAACATGGCGACAAAACCAAATCCTAGCTGGTACTCTATTGGTGGATTTGCTCCTGCCCTAAAATATATATTCTAGATTCTTTTTCTCTGCCAACTTACAAGTATCATTCAAGCTGTTAAGTTGATTAACCCAATCATAAGTAAATTTAGAATTCATTAAGGTAACACAACCCTTAAAGGGTTAAACAACAAACCGTAAAGGATTAAACACACAAACACTCTTAAAAGAAAGTAAGACTGAAAGTCTGAAACTGATCGATAATCATGATAGGAAAACTTGAAACCCTTCGGACACCACTAGCTCAGTATCTAACTGATTAGGATTAAATACGTCGGTGGGAGACGCACTATGATGAGATTTATGCGTTTCAATTGTAACGCGGATATTAATAATGTCTTTGAAGTATTTAATTTTATAATTTTTTTTTTCTTTTTTTCTTTATTGACACGATCAAACCCTAGTAGTTGCCACAGTAAGCCCTATGAAATTAAGTGTATCACAATAACGATCGACTTCGTTTGGATACACACATGCTGACATGCACTGACACACATATTATTTGTTGATAATAATTCGAGAATATAAATAATAATTGAAGAGGTTCAATAAGGTCAAAAAATTATAATTCTTGGACACGAATATAACAAGTCAAATTTACCCAGTTTGACTCAAAACTTAGCAAAAATAATTAGAATGACTCTCAATCCAAATGGATAACTAGACTAACCCAAATTTTATGTAAAAAGACTATTTAACCTTTCATTATGCCTGTTGGTATATAAATAAAAACCAAATTCGTTTTTTTTAATTAAAAATCAAATATGGCATATAATTTTAACAAGTCTACTACATTAAAATTAAGTCCGCCATATCCTAATTTTGCAGATTTTTTTAAAAATTGCCAAACATAATTTTGTCGTGATAAGATCCGATAACTCTGTCATGATAGAATAAAAATCTGTCAAAACATGAAAAAATCTGTTGTAACTAAATAGGTCATTCTAGTAATTTATTTTTAATTCAAGAAATCTGCTATGAAACACCAGATTTTTGTAAATTAAACATAAATTTGGTATAACATAAAAAAATCTGTCATAACGTTAAACATATCGGTTGCGACTATATGTCATTCTAGCAATTTTAATTTTTTTAAAACAAATCTGCTATAACATTCCAGATTTTTTGTTAACATTAAAAAATCTGTCATAACGTAAAACAAATCTGTGAGCACTAAAAAGTCAAACTAGTAATTATTTTTTATTAACAAATCTGCTGTATTATGACAGTTTTTTTCCAAAAAAATATAAGTCTGACGCCACTAGAAACAAAAATCTGCTACATATTATAATAAAACTGTCAAAATTACGAAAGTCTGAGGCGTCATCATAAAATAAGTCTGGCAAAAGAAAAAAATCTGCTACAAATTAAATATCTGTCGTAACCATATTCAAAAAAGTCTGTGAGAGGAAAAAAACTGCCGTAGAAAATCTGTCGTAAACTATTAAGTCTGTCAGAGAAAATAAATATGTCACAACGACGCCCACAGACTTTTAACGGCAGATTTGTTTTTTCGAAAAAATTTCACCTACGTTTCCAGAAAAATCAAAGGGTATTATTGACTTTATTTTTTTCCTAACAAAGAGACAAAGGGTATTTTGGTCAGAAAAATAACTAGATTAACCCATACATTTTATGAGTTATTTTAGTAATTAAACCTTATTTTTGGGTCAAACTAGTTTTTTTCCCACATAACAAAGTCATTCATCACATTCACAACGCACAGCCTTTTCTTCTTTCTTTTTTTTTTTGTAAAGTTTATTCTTTGAGTTTCAGAAATATTCGGATAATGCACTGTAAAATCCGTGTATGTAGGAGCCAACCAGATCAAAAGATCGAGCGTTTTCTTTTCTATAGTGGATTAAGATTGAGTAACGTTTTTACCAAAAAAAAAAAAAAAAAGGTTTGAGTAACGAGTGGTCCATATATATAATAGTTTAGTTATCAGCTGCATTCGTTAGTTCTTAATTAAAGTTAGAACCCTTTCATGCATGTTCTTTGAATACTAGCTATTCTTGTATACCGCACTTCACGTTTCAGGTTTAAATAACTTGTCCTGTGTAACTCGATCGATGTGAAAATTGTTGCAACATAATTAAATAAAATGAATGTGTTCTGTTGAAGTTGCGTCCGTTATCTCTAATAAATAGCATAGTTTCTCCACATAAATATATACTAACTCATTGACTCAACTAAATTTGATACAGTATCACTTAAATTATGTATCAATAATTGAGCCTATTATATACAAGTATACAACTCGAACTCATGAATTTTTTGACTAGAGATGGACTATATGAGCTAACTCATTTTAACAATACTGCATGTTCACTTATATCTATAGTTTTCAGTATGTTTTGGTATATGGTTAAGTGTTGACCGGTTTAATGTTCTTAGTCATTTTTTTTTTTTTGTTAAATTTTAATTTTCTCATGATGTTTATGAATTTGAATTACTGTCTTGTTGTTTGCTACGTATGAACAAGTTATCTTTGTTAATTCTATACTTTTAATAAGCAAATTTGAATAAGAAAAATCAATGATACTTGGATTGGACATGAACATTAAACCTAGTAGCTAGTGATATACGTAATAATATGTGGCTGTGTTATGTTATTAGAAAAATTGTGGTTTGTAAAATCGTAAGATAAATAAATGTCACTTTGCTTTGGTTTCCTGCGCGTTAATTGACTAAACGAGGGAATCATGGGAAATTTACTATATATACTCTTAAGATTTTTTATTTTCAATTTAGTTTCTTGCCAAAGATAGAGAAAACAGTTAAAAAAAAAATCTAATAAAGGAAGAGAAAGAAAAAGTGAGGGTGAGAAAGTAGATACGATTCTCTCCCAATCTCTTCGATATTTTCAGTCATTTATATGAGAGATCATTAACTTCATTGTCTGTTAGTGAAAAGAAAGTGACGTTTCGAAGACGCATCCTAAACGCAAAATTCACTTGTCTTCTTCTTTTTTTCTTTAAGCGTCGTGTCCGAAAAAATAGTCAAGTCCCTCAATCAAAACGCTCCCTCACACTTAGAACACACAATTATAAAGGGTGGGCACAAAATCTAAAAGATAGATTATAGAAATCGAGACAAAATCAAGGTTTTAAAAGTGAGAAAGATATTCTTGTTTCTATTTTACAGCTTTGTTTTTCTTCTTTCTTTCACGTCCATTCACCAACCAACCAAACTGCACTATGATAAGTGTCAAAATGGTTTTACACTACTTCACATTTTACCCAAAAAAAAAAAAATGGTTTTACACTTTTACTCTTACATGTGCTTTCTTGTTATGTTTATTTTCCTGTTTTTTTTTTTTGGTAAGAAATGTATCATAATGTTGACTAAAGACTGTACTGAATGTGGGCCGGTAAATAGTAAAAACAATAATTGACCAACCTACACTTAATAAAATTACAAAAATATTACTAGTTCATAAATGCAAATAAATAAATATATACCAACACTATGTTCTCATATATATGAATGTTACATTTTAAAAAATAGAATATTACCTCTCAAAAAACAATTGATTTAGATATGAATTCTGTAAAAAAAAAAATGAAAACCGCGTATTAAGAAAAACTGGAATATGATTTAAGAAAAAAAAGAATCTCTAAGCACACTGTAAACGATTCAAAAATGTTAAAAGCTACTCTACCAATCAATCACCTTGTCTGTGATTCTGTGAAGTGTGTGATGTGGATTTCAAAACTTGAAAGATTGAACACTTTTACCGACATAATGTCTTACACTTTTAATCTTCATTAATGGGCCAAATTAGTGGGCCTATGTTCACATTATATTTGTGTTGTCAGTCTACTGAAACAAACCGACATGCTCCTTTCACCGTTACACGTCTCGGTTTGTTTGGCTTCAGCTGGGGCTTAGACAAGAAATCAATCTTTCAATAAGTAGATTTAAAACTATTCTTTGCTTTTAATGTTTTTTTTCTTAAAAAAAAATAAAAATGATCTCAATCGGCTAAATCAAGTACAGTATAGAAAATCTTCGTAGTTTAGAACCAAAAATATTTATGTTTATCTATGTACACACTTATATATGAAATATACTAGTTTTGATAATGAGCTCCTTAGAAACGACGTTAATAATCTACCAAAAATGTCATTTTCTCTAAAAATTGGGTTTCAAGAAGAGAAACCTCGACTAAATCCTTGTTTGTTTAGAATCTTTTAGATGATACATTTGCGAACAAACTAATTAAGTTTAAAAGAAGAAGAAACTTAATGATAATATTACGGGATCTTCTCTTTTATGCCTTATGAATTCATACAAATCACCATAATAACAACATAATAAGAAACAAAGACAATGAGCTCGTTTAAATTTTGAGAAAAAAAAAAAAAAAAGCTCGTTTAAATATGGGAAAAAAACCCAAAAATGGGACTCAAAACATGAAGAAACAAAAGAGAAGAAACATCATCATCAAACTCGAAGAAACAAGGCCATTAACTCCGAACGAGAAAGCTCCCGAGTTAGAGGCCGGAGAATAGCTACCCTCCGGTGTGCTAGTAGTGAGAACGACAACAATCCAGTTATCATCAGAACCAATACCAATTCCAGTGAACTTAGAATCATTGAGGTCCTTGGAGTACTGAGACTGTGTGAAATTGGTCAAGACAAGACTTGGATCAAGGTTGGGAACACAAGCTGGCAAAATCGCACCGTCTCTAGTAACGGTAGGGTTGAGGCGGCATTTGGAGAGGAGCTTAGGCAAGTTTGGGAATCCAGGCTGGGTTCCAGGAACTGAGAATGAGCCAGTGGTGTTTGTGCAAGGCTGGTTCTTGAATTGGTCTGCGATTTCGTCTGCAAGACATTCTGCGTTTTCGTTATGTATTAAGGTTGTTAGGTTTAGTCCTGCTCTGTAATTGTTGATGCCTGTACGAAGAACATCTTCTTCATCTGTGGATATCAAAAAAAAACAGAACACACACCAAAAACAAAAGCAATATCTACAAAGTTAGATAAATCTCAATCGGGGGTAATTTAGTAAACAATGTAGTCGCCATTGATAGAGATCTAAGCTTAAATGGAACAGTTTCGACAATTTTAATACCAGATCTAAGTCAAATTCACGATCTACAGAGATCAAGAAACCCAAAATTGAAAAATCAAGAAGATCTTGAGGGAGATGAGAGAGTTACCGGCGGTGTCGGAAAGAACAAGACGATGAAGGGAGAGAAAGACTGAGAGAAGAAAGAGAAGATGGAGCTTGGAAATCGCCATTGATGCAGAGGTTTCTCTTCTTTACTTCTTTGGTGATGATGAATCTTTTCTCTTTTTCTCTCTATTATTTTATTTATGAGAGGTTTTTAGTTGTTTCGCTTTGACTCTTCAACGTCGTTTGCTTTGCTTTTTTTTTTTTTTTTTTTTTTCATATTAGTGTTATAAACCACATGTTGGATGGACTCCATAACCGTGGACCTTATGCATATTCTAGAAGGCCCATGTCCATGTCCTAGAAGGCCCATGCCCATGTTCTTGAAGATTCTCCTTATGACGGCCTATATTGTACTTAGTGGGCTTTTGGGCTTTAGGGTTTACTAACCCAATGAGGATTTGTCTTCTCTCATTATGTATATATATGTAACGAATTTCATTCATGAATACATAGAAAAACAATAAGTTTACAACACGTTATCAGCACGAGTTGCTCTTAACAAAACCCTAAAAACCCTAAACCTAAACTCGCCGAGTTCGCCCACCGCTTGAAGCTACCAACCGATGACCGCTCGCTTTGCCCTTTGATCGGCGATCTCCTCCTAGCTTCATACGTTCGTGATAAGCTTGATAACCGAGGTCTTTAGCTCCCGGTTCCAATCCATACAACCCCAAAAAGGTGAAAGGTAAAAACCAAAAAACCCTAAAAGCTAAAGAACCGATTATGAATTTGAACCTAACGATCGGTGGAAACCTAAAACGAACCTTGAATGGTTAAGTAATCTTATTGCTTGAAAGATCCGTTTGTTTGAATCGTTTAGGTTGCTAGAAAAGGATTGATTATTGCTTAAACTAAACTCGCCTAAGTTGCTAGACAAGTTCTATTGTATAAACGATTGCTTCTTACTTATGAAAACCGATCATGAACTTGAAATTAACAAACGGCTAAGACACTAAAACGAATCTTGATTGTTATAAACGATTGCTATTGCTTGTGAGATCCGATTATTTGACTCGTTTAGGTTGCTAGAAAAGTTGGTTATTGCTTATGCTAAAATCGCCTAAGTTGCTAGAGAAGTTTTATTGTCTAAACCTAAAATCGTAAAACGAAAATACATAAGGCTAATAACCGAAACTTTAAAGATCTAAAAAAACCTAAAACTAAAACGAACCTAATCCGAAAATTCCATATGTTTAAACGGCTTGATTGAGATTGTTTTAGGTTGTTAGATTGTTTGCTCATTTGATTGTTTACATGCTTATCACCCTAAAACTAAAATTGCATGAACCCTAGAAAACCTAGAAAAGATAATCCTAAAAGAAATCTTTAAAACCCTAAATTCTAGGAATCCTTAAAATCCTAAATAAAATAGGAAACCCTAAATTCTAGGAATCCTTAAAATCCTAAATAAAATAGGAAACCCTAAATTCTAGGAAATCCTTAAAATCCTAAATAAAATAGGAAACCCTAAAATCTAGGAAATCCTTAAAATCCTAAATAAAATAGGAAATCCTAAAACCCTAAATAAAATAGGAAACCCTAGATAATAGGAAATCTTTAAAACCCTAAATCTTAGGGATAATAGGAAATCTTTAAAACCCTAAATCTTAGGGATAATAGGAAATCTTTAAAACCCTAAATCTTAGGGATAATAGGAAATCTTTAAAACCCTAAATCCTAGGAATAAAAAGAAATCCTAAAATCTTAAATAAAATAGGAAATCCTAAACCCTAAAAAAAAAAAAAAATATTAAATAAAATAGGAAACCTTAAAACTCTAAAACCCTAATCAAATTAGGAAATATTTAGAAAAGGAAATTTAATCCTAAAAGGGGAAGTCAAATCCTTAAGTAATCGATTCATAGTTCGGTTTTAAAACCGCATGACATTAACGATTACATGATATTGACTCAAATTCCCCTTTTTGCTTGTAGATGTCGAAAACAAAGAACCTCAAGTTTTCTGCACTCAATGTTTCCGGCGACAATTACTTACAATGGGCATTGGACATTAAGATAGCCCTTGAATCCAAAGATCTCGCCGAGTGCATTATGGAAAACAACGAGTGTGAGAAGAGGTCGAAGTTTAAGGCGATTGCGTTTATACGCCATCACCTAGCAGAGAGCCTTAAGAATCAGTACCTTACTATCAAGGATCCTCTCGACCTTTGGGTCGAGTTGAAGAATCGATACGATCACCAAAAAACGGTACTTTTACCGAAAGCCCAATATGATTGGAAAAACCTCAGGATCCAGGATTTCAAATCTGTGGAGGAGTATAACTCCGAGCTTTTTAAGATTGTCTCAATCCTGAGGCTATGTGGTGAAAAGGTGACTGATGATACCTTGCTTGAGAAAACATACTCAACATTCCACCCTAATAATGTGGTACTTCAGCAACAATACCGTGGAATGAAATTCAAAACATATGCAAGTTTGATCTCCTGCTTACTCCTTGCTGAAAAGAATAATGAGCTATTACTAATGAATAGCTCAATGAGACCTCCAGGATCCACACCGTTGCCGAAAGCCCATAAGGCCGAAATAGCCAAAGAACCTCGAGAGACCAAAGAAACCAACTACGTCCATAGAGGGTATCACGGTCGTGGCCGTGGTAGAGGACGTGGTGGTGGTCGTAGCAACCATAACTCCTACGGCCGAGGAAACCACCATGGTGGTAGAGGCCGTGGGAACAATGGTCGAGGTCGTGGCCGCGGGATCTTCAAACCGCAACACAAGGCCAAGTCCGTTTGCCATAGATGCGGAATGCCTTTCCTCGATTAGCTAAGCTCGAGCTA